AAATTGGTAGATATTGTCAAAATAAAGCATAAGGCTCAGAAGCTGTAACACTGCAAACTACAAAGGCCAATATTTATATAAATATTTCAATGAAAACCAAACTCTGTGTGTTCTGGTAAGGAGTTAAGTGATTACAAGCCATACATGAACACGTTTCTTACAAAATATATCAGGCTTACAGTTTTATTAAAAACAGGCTACCTGACCTCCTCCCAATAAGGCCATGTCCACAAAATACCTAATTCCTAAACTCACAGGTGGAAAATGGTGGGCACAAATTCTCCGGCACTCAAAGTCCTCTGCTTATGTCAACTACCTACAATCCTTTAGTGTATCAATCAACAGCTTCTGGGAAAATAGGTAACTTCAAACTCATTAATTTGATTTTTATATCTTTAATATGAGTGAGTTACAGAGCTGCATTTTGGAGTCTTTATTTCACAGTAATTACCATCTTTCTTTTTCTTTGTTGAAAAACCAACTTCTACCAATTCCCAGTCATCTCCTATTCAAAACACTCACCAAGCAAACGGTAGGCCAGTCTTCATTCATACCTATCTAATATACCCTATTTCATTAACTGAACTTTTACATTTTTGAGATCTTAGCTCAAAAGTTCCATGTGTATTTTCTTGACATAAACCAGAAAGACTTGAGAACACTTAGTCAGTGAAACAACATTAACAATGATAACGCATTAACGTTTATTGATCACGTTATGTATCTGGCGTTGTTCTAAGCACTTTACATATTTCATTTAATCCACACAACAATATTATGAGCAAGATAGGTAACACTGTATTTCCACAAAAGAAAGCTTTTAAAAATTCATCCCTTATTTTTTAAAAATGTACCAACTTAATCCAAATTTATACCTTTGAAATATAGTTTGGCCCTGGCCAGTGTGGTTCAGTGGTAGAGCGTCAGCCTGTGCACTGAAGGGTAGCGGGTTTGATTCCCGGCTAAGGGCACAAACCTGTGTTGCAGGTCTGTTCCCTGGCCATGGTTGGGGCAAATGCAGTGGCCAACCAATCGATGTGTCTCTCTCACATCCATGTTTCTCACATCGAGGTTTATCTTTCTCTCTCCTCCCCCCCACTCTCTCTAAAAATCAATGGAAAAAATATCCTCAGGTAAGGATTAACAACGACAACAAAAGAATTAGATTAAAAAATGATATATACATATGTGTATATGCATATGTGTGTGTGTGTGTATCTGTGTGTGCATGCATATATGTGTGTATATATGCGCAGGTATGCATAGTGCGTGTAGCGCACATGTGTATATGTATGTGTGCATGTATGTATGTGTGTGGATATATGTGTATGCTTGTGTGTGTGTGTATGTGTGTGTGTATATAGTTTTTCTCTATTATTCTATCATGCTGAAAAAGCTAAATAGATTTTCACTAAATTTAGAGGGTATATTTGGAGCAATCTAACTTAAGCTACAGGCCACATGATATAAATTAAATACTGCATGAGGTACAGGCACCTCAAAGCACAGGAAGCCATTCCCCAGAGCAGCCGCAGGCCGCTGCCTTGAGAAGGAAGGAGCTACTCCTGCTCAATGCGCTGCGCCACATTCCAGTCTGAGAGGCAGCAGGGACCCGCTTACAAACGGCTAGTGATTTTTCAGAGGACCTCTAGAAAAGCCAACTAGCATAAGGTAACTTTAAAAAACAAAAACTTTGTTTATGGAAAGAAGGGTGTATGCATTCCACTCATAAGGAGCAACAATATATACAGTGTGGAAGTGAACAAATAAAACATAAATTGCAGGGCCATCCTCCAGTCTAGACCTACTCAATGACTCTACAGGGACGACACTCCAGAGTCTAATGAACAGTCCCCTTTTGGTTGGCCTGGGCAGCAACTTCATCAAAACCCTACAGGAAAATAGCTACTGAAGGTATTAACTTGCTGAGTTCCTTCCAGTAAATTAAGCTGTTCTTACCCCAGATGGGACAGGAAGGAATTCTTTAAGGATGGAGCAACATGTTATTGATCTCTGTAGCCCCAGAGACCCAGCCTGGACCAGGCACATAAATCAGACCTTACACATAATTCTTGAATGTTGATTTGAGTATACGCTAAATCCAGTAACTGCTGGAACTACACTGCCAGATTCTAATGAAAGCGTTTAGTTCTAATCAACAATGAAAATCTTTGGCTGTGCTTTTTAAGGGCAGATTGGGGCAGATTGATCATCAGACTCTTTTCTTCTTCAGCTTTCTGTCATCCCAAAATTCTGTGCTTTAAATAAAACCCTTAGGCTACTGAGACCAAAAACTCTTCCAAGTGAGTAAATTCATCTTTCACTCCAGTTTCCAAATATACTGTATCATAATCAAGCCTGGCTATAAAAAACGGATAGAACCTTTGCTTCATTCCATTGCTGATCAATTCTTATAGGTTTTACCACAATGGTTATGTGTTAGGAACATAACGAGAAACATATATTGAACTGATTACACCTGCCCCTTTCCAAGAGAGATTCCAGTCTGATAAATACAAAGAACATATACATTTTTCTTATCTTTTCCCTAAACTTACTGTGGTAGTCATTTCACAATATATTTAAGTCAAGCATAGGCTGTACACCTTAAACTTATACAGTGCTGAATGTCAACTGTATCTCAATAAAACTAGAAAGACAAAAAATAAGGCATTAGCAAAGATTTTTATAAATGTAAATGCTGTCACACAAAATCAGCTGAGCTGGAGGAAGCAGTGTGTAATGGAAAGAGAGTCAAACACTTCAGTTCCAAAGCTTAGTTTAGCATAAATCGCAGGATCTCTAAGGCCCTTTGTAATTCTAAAAATGGATTTTCAAGAAATGAATAGGATCAAAAACGAAAACTACAGTTTAATACAGACGATGTGAATAACAAACCTGAAAAACTTAAAAAATTAAGACAAAGGAAAAAGAGGAGTGAGCAAAAACTCTAATTATAAGAATTAATACTGTAGTTTCTGTAATCACGGAATCCTATTTAGCTCTGAGCTTCCTGGTAACCAGAGCAAAAAAAAAAAAAGACATCTTGATTATATATCCCTTGCAAAAAAAGAAATGAAATACTAACTTCTCTAAAGAGAAAGTTTTCCCAGGTAGGGAGCTTTTCGCTCAGTGGAGCTCTGCTTCTACCTGTTTTAGACATGTGGCATTTATAATTTATTTAGAAAACGTGTTCTAGGGCATAAAAAAAGAAGAAAAAGTGGGGGGAAAAATTGGCCTGGTTCAATTCTTTCACTTTTACAAACAAAAAGACAAAAGCCAACAAATTTAATAACTTACCTATAGTTGTGTAGCTATTAAGCAGCTTCATGATCTTACCTAAACCTAACTTTACTTTTAATACTAAGAATAGCTCTGTGTCAGCCATGAAGACCAAAAAACAAAATATAAAATAAAGCAGTAAACTAATAAAGAAAGCCTACTAGTTCAACTTGGTATTCATATATTCCCCCCACATGCAGCTTTACACACGTAGGGGATGATCCAACAGGACATTTCCAGCCTTCTGAACTACCCAAAGACACAGAGGATTATAAGGTCACAGATGTTAGCTCTGCAGCAAACTGCCCTACCCAGCTGTAAAGTCAGCCAACCTGCAGAAGTCAAATTTTCTCCAGCACATAGGTCCAAACAGTCACTTACAAAGGAAGGAGGAATGGCACTGGACGAGTTCTTACTGCAGCAGAGATCTTTACTTCTCAATCAGCAAACTTTTAGAGAAAAACACACTAAAACTGAGCTATAAATATAATGTAAAGAAATCTGTCCTGAGCGCGCAGACGCATGCTGCATGTTTATCCATGTGTACAGACTCTGAGTTTACTGCTTTACTGAAAAGTCCCACTCAGGCTTCCATTTCACCCTTCATTTCAAAGCTGAATGTAGCTTTTATCACACGTGTTGACCACAAAACTGAGTAGATGCAATTAACACAAAACTTGAAGGCCAAAAAATGCCTACATAGATGAAATGTGTATAATTTTCAATTCCGTGATGAAATTACAGAGACGTACTATTTGCCAAAAAGTCAAATTCATGATCCAATTTCAAAATTCCAATCTAGAAAGAATTATAAAAATCTTTTAATTTGCTGTTTATTATTTTAAATAGAGAAAATTTGTTTTAACCTTTTTTCTCATAGTTTGGAATATGAGGTTTCCAAAGGAAGCTACTGGCGCTTACAGGGTTAATAACAGTAAGGCTGGTCACTACTGTAAAAAATGCCTTTCTCCTAAAAGTAGTTTTCCTTCTCCATATAAAAGCAGCTGACATATTTATTAAATAATTTCAGATTATAAAGGAAATCAACGTCAGCAATTATTAGAAATAACCAATAATGAAGCAAAAAGTGAATGCATACCTATAAAATCTAAATAGTAAAGTGATACCTGGAGTTATTTACATGGCTGCACAATACTTCTCCATAAAGTTCATTATTTAACATTTCTCTCTAAAAAAGTAATCCCCCTATATGCACATATATCGCTTTACATAATGACATTTTGGTAAAGAGCAAAATCATGTTCAAATGGTAAACATACCAACAAACAAGACAACTTTCAAATGGTAATTTTTCAAATACCAATTTTCAAATAATACATACTTTGACTACACCAACAAACAAGAAAAAATTGAGAGACAAGATCAACCTCAGGGGCTGACTTGGGAAAAACAACTATGAATTGAGAGCCTCGTCAAAATCCCTCTATCAGATATCACTATCCCAAGTTAGAATCTTTCTTAAAAATTTAATCACTTGCTACTGTACATAATAAATGTTCATTTTTTTACAACCCTCTATGTATTTTTCTGTATCATCAAGAGCTTGCCTTTAGATGATGAGGATAAACATTTAATTGCCAAGCAGTCTGTTATTATTTTCTTTACTGAGCTACTTACTGATTTACTCTACTAAAATTAGTATTTGTTGCAATTATAATCACAGGAAGTCTAAAGGGTAATTCAAAAACAAAATTCACCTTTGTTACAGATTTTGCTTTCAGGCCTCCATTCTCCAAAGACCCAAGGTCCAGTTTGCCATCATCCTTACTTCCTATAGATTTTAGTCCTTGCAAAAGAATATCTTGTAAATTTTGATAAAGAGGTTTCTCGTCATAGTCCAGTAATTTCACTGTTTCCATGTATTTAGCAATTTCATCTAAAAAAATAACACAATTATTCTGTAATTTTTAATCATGAATACGACATATTTATTATCCCTTACTTCTAAGAAAATAATTTGTGGTTATAGTAAAATTAGGATAAAAATGCGTATCCTGTTAAGTAATGTTTTTTCAATCACTTCTTCAATGAAAAGTATGCTTTTGAACTCAGAAATTGTCAGAAAATAGTCTAAATAAAAAATATATTTTGAGATACGATGTAAAAAACATTTGTGAAATTGTGAGACAATAAAAGACATACTTAAAATTTAAACATGCACAGAAATAACTGCTGTAGTTTTAAAACTATCAAAAATACAAAAGGACCTAGAATATAGATTATGAACTAAAATGTGCTTAAGTACAATGAATAGCATAGACAATGTTTTTTGTTTGTTTCTTTGTGTAAACAGGAAATAAAACATACCAAAAGCAGGTTGAAGAAGGAAACAAGGTCTGGCTTTCCCACAAAAGAAAAAAGCGTCTTCTGAATGATAAAAGGCTTACTGTACACTGGGGCAGAACCATGTCCATAAAAAGGAATCTTACTAGTCAAGATCCAGACTTCTCAACATTAAAGACCCGTCTTCAGGGTACTGAGTCACACATGTCTATCCCCAGCCTAGCCCCTTCCCCTGAACTGCAGACTTGTATATATGTGCAACTGTCATCTCAAATCCCAACAAATGTACATCTAAACCTCTGACTGCCCCTAGCACCTGCGGCCTGTGGTTTCCGTCTGGGTTTCCGAGAAGTT